TGATCATCCTCTGGAAGAGTTTGTGTAAGCCTGCTGTCATCACTTCCTTTAAGATCGGATAGAATTTGCTGGTGAAGCCACTAGACCTGCCTGGGTTTTCTGTGGGAGAATGTTTAAATTAAATATTCAGTTTCTATAATATGCAGTTCTATTCAGCCATGCTAGTTCTTCTCATCTCTGTTTCTGTAAGTTGTCGTTTTCTAGGAGTTTGTCTATTTCATTTAAATTTTCTACTTTTTGATATAAACTTGTTTATAAAATTCTCTTACTGTTTTTAATGTCAATAGAGTCTGAGGCATTGCCCACTTTTTTTATGCTTGGTATTAATTGGGTTTTCCCTTCTTCTTGAGAGGGATGTATCAATTATATTTGTCTTTAGAAAGAACCAGCATTTGCCTCTGTTAATCTTCTCTGTTGCTTGCTTTCTTTTTCATTAATTACTGTTATCTTTTTTACTTTCTTCCTTCTGCTTTCTCTGAGGTTAATTTACTATTCTTTTTCTAAACTCTTTAAGATAGATAAACCAGATCATTTATTTTCAATCTTTCTACTTTCCTAACATAAGCATTTAAAGCTCTGCAATTTCCTTTAAGCACAGCATTAGCTATATGCCAAACATTTTGGCATTGATATTTTCATTATCATTCAAATTTAGTAAAAACTGTTTTCTAATTTCTGTTTTGATTTTTTCCTCGGCCAAAAAGTATATTGCTTAATTTTCAAATATATGGAGATTTTCTAGTTATCTCTTTGAGCCTTGTTTCTAACTTAATTGCTTTATGGTCAGAATATAATGACCTAGCCAATGGCCTACTTTTATAAATTTTCCATGTAATCTTGAAAAGAAGGTTATTGAGTGTATTGTTCTATATATATTCATTGGTTTAGTTTGTTGATGTGTGTAAATCTTTCACATTCATATGAATTTTTGGTTTTGGTGGGCTTCTTCTATCAATTACTTAGAGATGTGTGTTTATACCTTCCTATCACTGTGGATTTGTCTATTTCTCCTTGTAGTTTGGTCAGTTTTTACTTTCTATATTCTGAAGGTCATATTCTCTAGATGTTAAAACTGTTATATTTTCTTGGTGAACTGAATCTATAATCAGTAGGAAGTGACCTACTTATCTATTCAGTCAATGGAGTTTTTATTTTTGAAACTTCTACTTGCTTTGTTTTCAAATTTTCTTGGTCATTTTCACGACCTTTTTCTTGATCATATTTTCAAGCTTCTATTTGATGACTTTTAACATATTAAACATTATTGTTTAATGTATTGTGTTTGTTTTCAGTATCTGAAGTCTTTTGTTTCAGATTTTGCTGTTACTTCTGGCTCTTACTCAAGATGCTGTGTGTCCTTTTGTGCTTTGCACTTTTAACTGTGAACTCATAGTCCTTTGAGCTTTTCGTGGCGCGTGCTCAGATATCTGAGTTGATAATGCATCTCCCTAAAGAGGATGCCTGCCTGAGTCACCTCAGGGTACTATGGACCTGGGATCTCTTTTTTTATTAAATTAAATTTTTTGCTGAGGCTTTTCAAACTACACTGGTAGCATAACCTCCCTACCAGGCACCAGGACCATGACAGGCAGAGTTCTTTGCATCTGCTTAAGTACCGTGGATTCGTCCTTCTTTCCTTTTTTTCTTTCTCTCTCCCTGTTTCTCTCTCTCTCAATTCACCCTTCCTCTGAGTGTGTGAGTTTTATGCACTGCTCTCCTATTAGAATCTTCCCCTGGGAGGCCTTAGGCTTTCTTTTCTACCTCTCCTGCAGGTAAGAGACAGAGGTTTGAAATTTCAGTATTTGGCAGAAATTATGAGTGAAAATTCACTTCGGAGCTTAGTAACCCCCATAGTTCTTGCAATACATTTTATTTGACACTCTTGTATTTTCTTACTTTCATGTCAGCCTAGTGGTGGCTTTCTCTCTCCCCCCCTTTTTTTTTTTTTTAAGGAAGATTAGCCCTGAGCTAACATCTGCCGCCAGTCCTCCTCTTTTTGCTGAGGAAGACTGGCCCTGAGCTAACATCCATGCCCACCTTCCTCTACTTTATATGTGGGGTGCCTGCCACAACATGGCTTGACAAGTGGTGCATAGGTCTGCACCTGGGATCCGAACTGGTGAACCCTGGGCCACTGAAGCAGAACATGCGAACTTAACTGCTGTGCCACTGGGCAGGCCCTCTGCCTTTTTTTTTTAAAGAATGTTTAAAAATTGTTTATCTAGTATTTAAATTTTTTTAAAGGCAGGTGGTATTGCTAGAAAAGGAATCATAATGTATATTTTATACGAAAAGTAATTCCAAGCATTTTTCATAACTTTTATTATCTTTAAAATGCTAATTGTATAATTAGCTTTCTTTTTATATTTATGTCACTTTTGTGCAATAACAGCAAAATGAGGCCAGCTAACACTTACTGAATAATTACCATGTGCCAGAGATTTGTTTTAAAGGCTTTATATGTTTTAACTCATTGAATCCCCTTAGCACCTCTATAATGTAGATACAATTATTATTCCCATTTCACAGATGGGGAACCTAAAGCACAGAGAAGTTGAGTAAATTACTGAATCTAATAAAAGTGGGAAGGAACAAGAATTATTTTTAAATTGTAAGGTATTCTATTGAATATTATTGAATTATTATTTAATAATTATTATGCTAGAGTGAAAAAAATACAGGTAGATTTTCTTTTACCCAGCTGTGGGTTTGTATTAAGAATCTGCCACTCGCTATGTCTCTGCCTTAGGAAAACAAAAAAATAAGGCACAAAGTATGGTATTTGTTTTGACTTACTTAAGTTTTAATTTATTGATTTTATTATATCTTATTTTGCTTTTATTTTTATTATAAATGTATTATACATCCATTATAAAAGTGCTCAAACAGAAAGCCTTCCTTTATTCTGTTAGTTCCCCTTTTCTTTCTGCTTCTCGCATCATACTGAGCCACCATTAACAGTTTAGAGTACGTCCTTCAGAGGTTTTCTCAAAATGGAAGGCTATATGTGTGGTGTTTGTCCATGTGTAAATTTAGTAATAATTATATACACATACACACATTAATTTCTGTAGTTTAGTTTTTCACTGTATCTGGCTCTGAGCCTCTGTCTTGCGGGCAGAGGTATTTTTGTGGGTTTCCCTTTTATATCCGCATTGTTTTTTAAAGCTGTATTATTTTGCAGAGTATTTCCACTTAGATTTTCCCCTTTATTTAGATATTTTCAGATATTTCCTTTATCTAGATACTGTCCTATTAATGATACTGAAGCTGTTTCCTTTTCTACCTGCTGCCAACCATGGTGCAGCAGACATTCATGTCCCGTCCCTGTGTCCTTGTGTAAGGAGTATCTGTGGGTTAACTTTCTTGCCGTGGCGTATCTGGGACAATTGTGGAGACCATATAACATTTCCACAAATGACGTGGAGTTGCCCACTAAACTGTTCTAGTAGAGGTTCTCCAGAAGAGAGAAGTCAGGAATGGACCTCCATATATGTAGAAATTTAAAATAGCATAGAAAACAGTATGATAAAAGAGTGAGGAAATGGCTGATTATTCAAATTTGTGATGCCAAGTCATGGGCCTGGGGGGAATCTTTTATAAGTACTACCAAATCTAGAAATGGACATGGAGAAACATTGATAAATGTGGTCCTGTAAAATATATCATTTTTATATTTAAAAAATTATGAACTAGATTTTTAAAAAGTCAAGAAAGCAACAAACTGGAAAAATGTTTGTAACGGATATCACAAAGGACTGATTTCTTTAGCATCCAAGGAGATATTTTATTTGAGGAAAAAGCCAACCAAACAGCCCGAGGGAAAAAAGACACTTTAGTAGTAGCTTCTTTACATTTTTTGAGTTTTGACAGTGTTCCAGAAACAGAACTAATTACTTTAAATGGAAGTTCTTATTATTATTCTTCCCATTTTATAGAGAGGAAATTCTCGCTCACATTGATTAAATCACTTTCTTGTAGTCACTCAGCTTCTTCGAGACAGAGCCTGAACTTAAACCCATGGCAGTTTGATTACAAATCAGTTTTCTTAAGCACTTTTCTAAATAGTGGCCCCTGGTGAGGAAATAAGTGGGAAAGCACTAAGACACAAATTAAAATGACCAGCAAGTATATTAAAATGTATTCAAATTTGCTTATAATTTAAAGACGTGAGAAATTAAATACACACATATATAATATTGTATCTTTCCATAGGCAAAGGTTAAAAATATTAATGACAGGGGGCAGCCCTGTGGCCTAGTGGTTAAGTTCAGTGTGCTCCACTTTGGTGACCTGTGTTGGGTTCCTGAGTGTGGACCTACACCACTTGTCAGCAGCCATGCTGTGGCTTCGTTTCCGCACAAGTCAAAATAGGCAGTAGATACAATGAAAGGAGCCAGGGGTCTGGTGAAAATAATATGTGGTAACATCACCTACATTTCTATGGGTTGGCGGTGTCATGGTTTGTAGTCAAATGCTCCCAGCCTACTTCAGGGCTCTGAAGCCTTCTGGAGTAAGTCAGTCTGGAAATTCTACATATAAGTTATTGGAAAACACAAAAGCACTGAAGCGCTGGAATAATATCCTCCCTTTTCTAAATGTTTGCTGGCAACCATCTATCAATTGAGAGAGAAATATTGACTTCGAAAATGACCTAACTAACCTTTCGTTTTGACGATCTCCATGCACAGTCATTGTGACAATCTCGCAGGTTTTAATCACTTTCGAGAGCCAAAGTCTTCTCTTAGGAACTATTGGTTCCAGGAAGGCAAAGTCACCAAGATTCTGACAAGTGGCGTGGCAATTGGCCTTGTGGCTTTCTCCTCAAGAATGTTTTTCCAGTGCCCAATCAGTGTGGCAGACTTTTATCTCCGGGTTTTTAAAGAAACTTTTCCAATAGACCGTTTTCATTCGTCTAACTAAGAAATAAACATGGCAAAATGAATACGTAGCTGTTCTTGAGGATCAGAGAAAATGACATTTATGTGGTTTGTCTACAGCACATTCAACTGGACGGTCCCGTTCCTTTCTTTCCTGGCCTGTTTGATACTGGCAGTGGCCACCATCATTTTGTATTTCATTCCACTTCGGTACATCGTTTTAATCTGGGGTAAGTTGGGCACAGTCCTTTTGCTAGCAAGCAATTCCAGGTAAGAACCAATTACTCGTTTTAAAGTGCGACTATAAACTTTAAATGTTCTCTTGTTGGCAATTAAACGTGAGATTAAGGAAAGCATTTGGGGAACAAAAACTTCCAGGACCTCCCTGAAAAGACCAGTTGCATGAACAATCAACAGAGATATTTATAGGCCTCTTGTATAATTGCAATCAAATAAAAATGTGATTGTGCGTGCAATTTCCCTTTGGGCTTTCATAGCCATAAATACTCTTGAATAATATATTGCTGTGGCCCAGTAACTTGCAGGAAACACTGTTATTTAAACAGTGAGCAAACACCTGCATCTTGCCCTTTATATTATGTAAAAGTAGGTCTGGCTGCTGCCAGGTTGCTCCTGACACTTCATCTCTCCTAGAGAGAAAAAAATCATCTAACCCAATACTTACATGGAGTAGCAGTGGGGGGAAGCGGTGGGGCACTCAGGGACTCCCTCACCAGGGTCTGACAGAAGAGGAAGTTTCTTTTTACCAGGGGAAATGGTGTGCCTATGTAAGTTTAGCTGTTTTAAAAAAGTAGAAACGAAAATGGCACACTTGAAATAAATTCCATGACTTGACTTACAACTCAAGCGAGCAACTGGACAAAATGCAAGCAGCTTTGTGAGCATTTGTGTCTGTTAGTGGGTGAGCTCTGCGTTGATAGAAGGAAAGTTCATTGCAGTAAATTAATTGTTGGAGAAGCAGACAGCCCTTCTCCATAAGAGTCTGTCAGTCCTGGTTTCCATGACTTGGCTTCTCGAACTACTGCTGAGTTCACAGTCGTAGTCACTTCTAGGGATCTTCAGATGGTAAGATGTTCAGGGACGTTACAAATGTGTGACTGCACTGCATTCACCTTTAAGCAAAAGCTGAGAGCCTGCAAATGCCAAATAAAAGCTTCAACCTTTCTCAAAAACTAAATGTAGACCTTTTCAAAGAGAACCCACAAAGGTAGGATCCTGCTGATGAGCAAAGCCAAACATAGAAATTCAGAAATGGGAAAAGGCATGGGGAAAATAGAATAACTCCTAACATTTCAGAAGTAGAATGATTTTGAGGGAACATAATCCATTCATTTTCTATTTTGTCCTGGAGGCAAAAATCCTTGTACAGAAGTCTCTCTCCTCTGTAGCAAGCCCAAGAAAAGAAAAAGATATTCTGACTCTCTCTTCAGGGATGTCTTTTAATCAATCCTTGATGACCCTCCTTCTTGAGGAAAGTCTTCTCATGCTTAGTTTTGTTTGTTTCTGTTTTGTTTCGCAACAATTCTAGCACATCGATCTGTATTTGACCTTCAGGAAAGAGAGCATGGAGTTCTTCAGGGGCCCATTGGTTAAGAAGGGGTATTTTGTAAAACTATTTCCCTGAATATCTTATGTGCTGAATGTTATCTGTATAGACTGAGCAATCTTATGCTCTCTTAATTGTTTTTCATAAGTATTAATTTCCAAATCCATTTACTGATTACATTTAAAACACAAATCTAAAACTGTTGTCTGACCCTACCTAGAACGATTCAAAATTACAATCTTTTTGCCAGTATATTGTTCATTTTTAAGTTTGTGTAAGTTGACGGCATAGTCAGCTTGTTAAATACTGTTGTCCCATGATTTCTTCACTGTTCTGGTGTATTCTTGATTTGCTTTTCTGCATCTTTCCCTTCACAAAGAAGACCAAACTGCATTTCCTCCTTTGACTGTCCATTTTAAGATTCCAATTTTTTTTCTCTTTACCCAAAATCACTTTGACTTCTCTTCTTCTCCTCCAAGATCTTGGCAGCTTTCCACACCAACTTTTTGCATCTACCTAATGAGACATTGCGCTATTTATTGTTCAGCTTGTGAATGAAATTCTTAAAGAGCATGGAGTTTACGATGCTATCCTGGGCTGACAGTAACCCTTTGAGCTCACCATGTCAGCCCTGCCTTGCCGTCATGAAATATATTCTGCAGTTCTATCAGGACTTATTCTTTTCCAAGACAAGTTAGTTATTAGCCAGCACAGACCCAGGAACTCCTTTGCACATCTCTTACATGATTGCATCCTTGGCAGAGACTTTCTCATGTAGAAGAAGATAACTTTACACGTCTTAAATTTCTAGTGTTCCTTTAAACTTTATTAAGGATCAGAAGACTATTTCCTATTCTAAGTTACTGACTCATTTTCATTGAGTCCTAAAAGTGGTGAATAAGATCCTACTTTTTTTGTTCAATGCTTCTAACCCTTTGAAACAAAATTATTTAACTGTCTCTTTTATATTTCCATATTCTTTCCCCAAAATAATATTTTATATAAATGTGTATTAAGTATCAGAATTATTTAACATAAGCCTATAAAAATAGATTAATTTCAGAATAGCCGTGGAAGATGCTCCGTGTTGGATAAATGAGCAAGCAAGGACTCTCCGCCCTACCTCACCCACCCCCACCAATGCATGCAATCGGGGCTACGTGCCACTCACTCATATAAGTATCTGAAAAATAGTGTTATAATTCTGTTTCAAGTGGTTATTCTCCAGTGGCCATATATGCAAAGCACCCATGCTGTTGTTCCTCTCTCTGACTTTCCCCAAGACTGTTTTTACTAGAGGGCTGCTTTCAATCCAGTGATCTATTCAATCTGTGATCTGGGACCATTAAATCAGCATCTCTCCCAAATGCTATCCCTTGGTAATTGGATTCCACTTACTTTTCCCTTTTTGCTAAAAGAAAGAAATAAAAATTCACAGTTGATATGCACTCTGTCTGTCCGTATTAAGTTAAACAATCTAGGGGCCAGCCTGGCAGTGTAGTGGTTAAGTTCACATGCTCTACTTTGGTTCTCTGGGGTCCACAGGTTCAGATCCCAGGCACAGACCTACACACTGCTCATCAAGCTATGCTGTGGCAGCATCCCACATACAAAGTAGAGGAAGATTGGCAATAGATTTTAGCTCCGGGCCAATCTTCATCACCAAAAAAACAAAAAAAAAACCCCAAAACTAAAGGTATGTTTAGCATGCTAATGGATAAAGCGACAACTTCCAAATTTGGGTGTGTGCTCACATACCTAATAATATAAAGACTCTTTCATCATTGCCACCTTTGTTTTCTTGGCTTATTGACATCTACAGTAATGATGTTAGCCCCCTTCATTGTTGGCGAATTTCAGATTACAGAATCCTCTTGCCTTTGTTGTCCAATGTGATTCTCCCATCAACCTTGGAAACTATGTAGGACAGGTCCTTATTATTCAAATTTTAATATAAGAAATCTGAGGCTCAGGAAGGTTAAGTGATTTATGTGAAACCACACGGCTAATACATGGTGAAGCCAGAACTGGAGCCTGGCTACTCCTGCTCCATAACCCTTGTTCCTTACCCCCTGCCCCTTTAAAGATGACCAAGGAATACATGATACCCTGTTGACACTTGGTCTCATACAGTAGATAATATGGTGGAATTACTGACCTTTGAGCCTGTCACCCCTTAAAAAAAATAAGGTATGCTTTTGAAACATGCAATCTGAGTGCCTTATAATTTTTATTCTAACGAAGTTTTTCTAATATAGACAGTTTCTGTGCATTGTGAACTAATTCTGCCCTTATTGGTGCATTCGAGCTGCTGTGCAGGTTTATAATCTTCTCAGTGACTAAGAATGCAGTGTTTTGATGGGCTGCGATATTATCCGTGCCTTGCTGTTCATTGTAAAGACTCCAGATGCGCACACTATATATAATTAACAATAGAAGATATATCTTTTCTCAATATGTCTTTGTCTCCCTTCGTCATTTGCCTTGTCTGTTTTCTTTTGCCAAAAAGCCCATGCTACAATTAAATGTCTTTAGAATAATACAGTGAGAGTATTTTAGTTTAAAGGAACGCTGGGGAAAATTTTAGCTAGAAACATGAAGCTTGCTGTGGGGGTAGAGGGAAAAAAGACGTAGTGCAGCTTTGACTGGAGAGAAAGGGAACACTTACAAGAAGTCTTCCTCAGCCCCACCACCATGCTGCCATTTACTGGTGAACAATGGCCGGCTCCCATTTGCAAAGCAAATGTGACTCTGACCCTCTCGAAAGAAAAGCCTGGAGGTTGGCATTGTGTCGGGTATAATGCCATGCAGGATGTCTAGTCCTTAGATGAAAGTAAAATAATATTTAATGAAAGAAGAAAAACATCAACCCTTTTATGTGTTAGGAACCGTTGAACAGTTAAACGTTACCTTGGCTTCGGAGTAGGAGCCAGTCAAGGTACACCTACGGTGAGAATTCATTCAGCATCAGTGGGATTGCCGCGGCCTTCAGATATGATCCTTGTTAAACACACATTCTGGGGCAAAACTTCAGAAGGCCACCTAGTCTTTCTGCTTCTAATACTCAGCACAAAAAAGGACTGACGTTCGGTGAAAAGACCACAGTTTGTGAGTTCCGGGTATGGGCACTGCAGCTCCAAGGGGCAGAGCAGGAGACAAAAGGTAATTGAAAGGAGCTTCCCTCTGAAGAGGAACCATGGGTAGAACTTGTCCAGGACATGCCCACGAGCCCAAGGCACAGCCACCAAGGAAGGATGCTCTACAGTGTATTGACGTGTTAAATGTTGAACCCCTTCTAATTGTCATTGCCCTCGTCCTAAATTCGCATGGACTCCGTTGCTGAGAACAACCCACGCACCCGTGTTGCGGTCCATAAATTAAGTTAGCAACCAGAGGAAGATAATTTTCCAATAATAACTTTTCACAGTTTCCTGCAGCATCAGAGTACAATCAACATGTCAAGTTCTGTTCTGCAGTGAGAGAAGAGAAACCTGTGAAAATGACTTCCAAGGGGGGAGATAGATTTCTGCAGTTTGCTTTTTAACAACAAAAAAACAACTCCCACCCTCCCCCTCACACTGCTGCATTCGGTCCAGAGCCCCCAAGCAGAGACTTGTTTGGGCTAACGAAGGCCTTTCCCATCTGGGACATTGGTTTTCCAAGCAGAGAAGGCTGTTAATCAGCGTAGTCCAAAAAAACCAATGAGCGCCAGTTTTTGTGTGTCTGTCTGCCGCCCTGCCGCTGGGATTGTAATGGGATTTTCACAGCTGAAGGAGGCAGAGTCCCTCTCCGACAATCACCCCTTCCTTCCTTCAAGAAAAGCCATTTGTGAATGATTCCACATGACAGCAACATATGCATGACTTCAGGTCTAGTAATTGTTTTCACACTAATTTTTACTTGTGAATGTACCCCGCCCCCTAGTCAGGTGATTTTTTTAAAGATAGATAGATAGACAGACAGACAGACAAAGAGATTGCCCGGTGTTTCTATTTTTCAGGCATAAATAAATTTACTAAGAAGCTTCGAAATCCCTATGCCATCGACAACAATGAGCTACTAGACTTCCTCTCCAGGGTGCCGTCTGATGTTCAAAAGGTATGTAATGAATGGTCACCACCAACAGGGGCCCCAGCACAGGAGTCTGGCCAGCGCCAGAGGCAGAGGAGCCCAGGGCTGTGCTTGTGAGTAATTGAGATAACGAATCAGAAGATCCTTAAAGAGTCCTGCCTTACAGGGAGGTGCTGAGAAAACCTTTGTCCAAAGCATGAGATGATTGGGGAAAATTATCCTGAAAAAGAGATACTTAAGAATGATCTGGAACTCATACTGCGTGGATATAGTGTAGTGGTATTTGTCCCTTTTTGATTGCTTGTCTCCCCAAAGAGGATAAGACCGGCTCAGTGCATGGGAGAGCATGACGTCCAAAACTGGGGGAGGCTGGCTTATTTTCCTCCTCTTCCGGATGGCAGGCATTTTATGGGAAGTGAGGGACAAGAGGATTATTCCTTTTATTCTTGTTTGTTCTGATTATCTCCTAGGCTGCACTTCTGCCCCCTTCCCTGTAAAGACTTAGGGGTATTGAGGGCAGAGCCCCCACTTACTCTCATACACATAGAGGCAGAGACGGCATGACATAATTTGAGATCAATCGGAAGTATTATTCACAGGTAATGGCCAATTAGTCCAGCAGTGTCCTCTGTCTGTGGATATGTAGAGATTAACCAAGGCAACAAGACCAGAAAGTGCCATAGGTAGCTGGATCTGGGCCCCTGCAGATGGGGCTGCTGTGCATCCAGAGGAAAGAGGGCAGGCAGTAGTCTCTCTAATGGAGAAGAGAGATCATAGAATAGATAGATGGGAGACCATGGCGTGAAATAGCATCACAATGATCAAAGACACAGTCCTTTATTATCTGAGAGAATCCTCAATCAAATATTGATTTTCATCTTCAGGCCATCGTACCATTTTTGGTTCCCTGGCAACTCTGGGTGGATTGCAGAGATGTAGGGCTGCAAAGCCCTAGAGTTTCTTTCCCCTTCATTCCAAGTTCTAGGGATTAAAATAAACTCCAGGATGCTATTTTCCTTTAACCTTCATTTTACGATATGATTATCTATTAAAATGCGTTCTATAAATAGGAATTTACTCATTAACATTTGCATTCCATGATTATAAAATAGTAACCTGGCCCTGTTTGTTCTGCATTGAAGATTGACAGGTGTGTCATCCCCTGCTCCGCTAAGGGTCTTTCATAAAACCCTCCAAGGAGAGCATGCTTTTGTTCACGTATCTGCTTTTGGCCAAGTATAGCTCAATTTATGTGATGGGCCACTGTGTCCTTGGGGAGTTTGGCACAAATGCTCAAAATAGCACATGTGGTCTGTAATACAATACTTTAAATGGAGACGCTCCACCATCAGCCTATCAAAGTCCACACACCAAAGCGATACGATTCAACGTACCATCACTTGAGGGGCAATGTGAGTTCGTGCCTGCAGTCTTGAAGAATGGAAGTTTCCATTAAGCCCCCCAGGGATGATCTGTGCATAGTTCAGGCACCAGCCCTCAGTGTGGTCATCCACTTGGAGTTGGCATGAATACACAGGGACACAACAAAAGAGCTTTCGAGGAAGATATACAATATGCTAGTAAGATCCTTCATGAATCGCCAAGAGCACTTTCTAATAATACGATAGACAGTTTGCCATGGGGGACGCCCCCGAGTGCTTATATTTATCACAGATGTTTTAGCCATTACATTGTAAATGAAATTCATTTTTAAAAGAAATCTAAGTCAGTCTGGGGCCAGTATCAATTTCAACATTTTTTCCCTCTCTGGCAAAATAAATGTATATAATTTGCAGAGATTCTTTTCCCCAAGATTTTAGATATTTTTAAATGAATACTTCTTAGTAAGTTGCTGTATCATATACTAAGATAAACACTCCCAAGAGGCCATTATTAAGCTCACTTTTGGTTGAAAACAAGCAGGTACAAAACGAAAATCATCTAGCAGTGCCGAGAGCAGGTAGAAACCCATGCATCTCATTAGAAAAATCTGCTTTTAATATTTTGGTTTCAAGAAATGATGCATGACTTCTCAAATCCTTCCTGCAATTAATCCCCCCGTGTTCCTGTGTTTAGAAAATGATTCATTACCTTTGAACCTTTCCTCCCTTGCCTTGGTTTGTCTTTGGGGAGCCATTAACACACACTGTGGGGAGCTAGGGTTACCTAGCCGCCAGCGTCACGTCTGTTTGTTTTCACAGGTGCAGTACGCGGAATTGAAACTCTGCAGCAGCCAGAGCCCCCTTCGGAAGAAGCGCAGCGCGCTCTAGGACACACACCGACTTTGGACACCAGCACCGGATTCTGTTTGGTTGATTAGACCAATACCATCGCTCTTTCAGTGGTACCCGTGGTGTCATTCTGAAATGCATCTGTGTGGACCCTTCGCTGTATTCTCTCCCCTTCTTCACGCGCACAGATGCACACAGGCGCGTGCGCACATCCGCATGCATGGGCGTCCTAGTCGCATAGCGGTTCAGCCCAGCAAAAGCAAACAATCCAGAGACTAGGAAAGACTTAACATCCCTTCTCAAATAGGAGATAAAGCAAGGCTGCTATGGGTCTGAACACCCTCCCTGAGAACAACTCTAGACCGTTCGGATTCAAGAGTGACTTTGAACTTGTTTTCACACCTCTGACGGATTCTCATTAAGATTCAGTTATTTCCATTCCCCATCCCCACACTCCTTTCAGATTATTGTTCATGAGTCACTTTTTTCTCTGAGTTAACAAGTCTTTGATAGCCATCATCTAGCAAATAATGTATATTATAAATAGAGTTTTTAATACTTACCAGGTTCAGCCCAAATCTTTGGGAATCTTTCGGCTGTGATTGCTGAAGACCTATATGTAAAATTTCAGTAAACCCCTAGGTGCTGGATGCCAGCCTACATCACGGGCCACCGTGGGCAATGGATGCCCCAGGAAGGTCCAAAGGGATCGCTCCTCCGAAGTGTAAAGGTTTAACGAAAGTATTTAGTTGCCTTAAAACGCCATTTCTTCTGACTTTACTTTTTGCTTATTTCCAAAATAAACTGTCAACATTACAGCTTCAGAAAGGCGGAGAGGGGATGGATGAATGACCTCTGAGAGTATTTAGAAAGATAAAGACTGAGGAGCAAGGGATTAATAAATGTGGCTGCTTACCTGATTGTCATAATCAACTCATTTGCCCGCCTTTTTGAGCAGAAAGTAAAAATAGTTTAGCAGTCAAAATTGATCTTTGGTTCCTCTCATGGGCAAAATAAGCTACACATAATACAAATATATCTCGGAAACCTTTTTCTAGAAAAGTACTACCTTGAAGTCTTCCTTTGAGTGTATCTGATTCCTGCAGACCCCACCATTTCAGTAACCCCCCCCAGAATAAAAATCCCAATTCTGTGCATATTTAAAATGTATGCAAGTATCTTTCTGTTCAAATGATATTTAAGTTGTAAAGACTATATTTTGTGGACACATACTTTGTATGTGCAGTTTTATATATATAATATATATGTGTATTGTAAAGAAAAGTTAAGGTAAAAAGACCTGATTTAATAGTGAGTTTTACTATGGTTTTTTTTTCTCTCTCTGCGTTGTAATTTAATAATCTTCAAACAAAATGTTTATGAAAAATGCCAAAGATTCTAAACCTTATCATCCCGTGTCTGTTTTTCTTCATATTATATCTTCCTGGCTGAGCCAGATTTCTGCATGATTTGATTTACTTCAAGTTAATGAAGCTGGCTGGAAAAGAGCCTGGCAGAAATTATAAAAGCTCCAGTAAATCTCTTAGTTGTACATACAATAGATACCCAAGAACCTCTTTTGTTAAACCAGTTACTCAATCTTCTGTGTAAACAATGCCTCATTGTCTCACTCCCAACTATCATCTAGTTTATCATAGTCTGTCATTTTGTAACGACCTAAGTCAGACATTTTTAAACAGACATGTGAGATCTGATCAGTCATTTGAATGAAAACTTTCAGCAGCAAAATAACCCCTTATTTATTTAAAAGTGGAACCAATACTTTATTGTTGTTCTTTTGCTATAGAATTTCAAAATGAAATAATTTGCCCGACAAGAAGGCATCGTTAGTTAGACTTACTTCTTTTGTAGCCTGACTGAAATTCTCAGTGTAGAGTTTAGGACACAAACAGCTGCTGGGATGCAGGAGCAAGACCGAATCAACCTTCAATAAACTCTTTATGGAAAACAATTGTTAATTGATTAAGTAGATGTTGGATGCTAAAAATGAATGTTAGTTGTAAGTGAAATGTGAAGATTTATACAAGTAATCAGAAACTTGTTTGAAGATTCCTGAATGCTTCAGATAAGATGTATGGATTATGGATTCACAGTGTGATAATTAAAGACAATTTAATAGGAATGTTGAAGTTTTGCCGAGCTCTCCTTATTCTCTTCTCAAATTTCACATGTCCATTTCCAGCCCTGCCTGGATATCTCACAGGCATCTATACTTCAGGGGCTCAGAAACTCAGCGTTCTCTCTCCCTCCATGTGTTCAGGACCCCAGCACCATGGTCTCCTTCTAGCTTCCTTATTTCCTTTATTGGCATTGGCATCTCCTGGGGTGGGAGGCCCTGGGCATCCCCTTTTTTGTTCCTCATGCTTTTTTCCCCATCTCCCAACCCATAAAATCTGGTAGCTCCAGCTGACGTGTTGTCTTGTCCGTTTCTATCTTGTCCATTTCTGATCGCCACCACCCAAGTTGAGGCCTCTGTAACTTATGAGAAGTCACAGCAATGGTGACCATTACATTACGCCAGGTTAATCCCATTTGTACTGTTCTTTTCACTTGGAATACTTTCTCCCCAGTTTCTGTCTAAATAAATTCTGCCCTTAAAATTCTCAAAAGTCTCCTGCCCCAAATAGGCTTTCTTAGTTCCTTGGCTGGATGAAATCCTACCCTTCTCTTTCTCATGCCTGCATCTTATATATCCTTCTGGCATCTGCCATAGCTCATAGTTACCAGAGGCCTTGACACCCAGTGTACTCTACAGGGTTACACATCCTATCTGGCACCTAATAGACACTGTAAATACGTGTCTCACTAACTGGGCCATAGATGACTTTTCTTTCTCTGGCCTTTGGTGTGTGACTCTCCGAGCAGAGGGCTGAGCTGGATAGATTAGTGTGGTCTATCCTAAGAACTAATTTCTTGCATTAAATGCTAGCTTATATTGTGTGATATTATTTATAAACTCTGGCCTTCTTGATTATAAACTTTAAAATTAAATAATGTCTTATACTTGGAGAAGTTCTTACCCCCATGTCAAAGTAAAATATAATATTTATCTGTGGGCTCTAAAACAATTTTTGATTCTTTTTCTCGTCATTTATCATTTGACAAACATATATTGAACACTGATGATCTACCTGAACAAAACAGACTACGTTCCCTGATAGAGCCAGACATTAAACAGATACTTTTGAGCAGTGGCTTGACATTCTCAGATTCAAGTTTTGAAAAGAGCATTCTGGCTGCAGTGGGTAGACTAGCAATTACGAATGTTCAGAGCAGAGCCAATTGTAGTTCTGACCAATTGATGGTAGCCTGGACTTTCAAATAGTGGCACTGGAAAAAGAAAAAAATATAATGAAATTGGAAGATGGTTAGGAGATCAAGTGAGCAGGACTTAGCAGGTGCATGACTGTAGGATGAAGGAGAGAGTAGAGTCAAGGGCTGGCTCTCAGTCTTTCATCTCCAGGTCTAGGAAGATGGTGTCAACTTTTGCTGAGGGAGAGAATTATAGGATCAGCTGTGGGAAGAATTGCATGAGCCCAGTTTTAGCTGGTGTTGAATTTGAGGTGCCTGAGGAGTCTCTAAATGGAGATGTCAGAGAGGTAAGTGAATGTGTGGATGTGGAACACAGAGAAGAAATACACCTTACTTGAGAGAGACATTTAAGGGCCAACATTCATAGAAAATGATTGCAGCTGCATGCTTCAAGAGATTGAACTCAACAAAGTCATATATATAAAGATGAGTCTCTAATAGTATAAATAGAATTAGGAGAAAATAGTAAGCATGAACTGTCACAGAGTTTAATGATAAATCTGTTTCAATGATAATGTGTTTCAAGAAAGCAGGTGTGGTCAGTAGTGCTAATTGCTGCTGAGATCACATAAGTTGAGGAGAGAATAATGACCTTTACTTAATGACATGGCAATTTGGGGGGACCTTGGCAGCAAGACATTTCAGTGGATTGGTAGAAGTGGAAACCAGATTTGACTTGAGAAGTGAGTGAACGTAGGAAAATGGAGACTGACTGGAGGTAACTCATGAAAACTTCCACTGGAAGAGAGGGGAGAGAGAGCGTAGTGACTAGGAATGGAAGAAGGTGTACAGGATGAGTTCACTAAGGAAAAAAATAGATGTGTCATGGACTCAGTGTAAACTTATGAGCTACAAAAAATTCTTCATGAGTATGAGATTGTTATCCATATTCATTATTTAAAACTATGCTCTGTCAAAAGCCCCCTCTCTTTTATGTAGTATTAATCCAACTTTTATGGCAACAGAAGACTTGAAAAATTGAAATAGAATATTCTCTGAAAATATGATGAGTAGTCAATTGATAATTGAATGAAAATTGAAGGGTGACTTCTGAAGAATGGCTTAAAGCTCATTACCTCTTTATATAGGTCTCTTTGGATAAAGCCTGCATTCTCTTCTGGCGTTTTAATGCAATGATTTACATGGGGAATATGGATAGTGAAGCACATAAGAATTCTGAACATTTTGTACGACTTATCAAATGCCAGGTACTTTCTAAGTGCTTTAGATATAATAGCTCATTTAATAATTTAAAAACTATGACATTCCTTGAAATACTTACGGAAAACAAAGAAACCACCAGTCTTTTGTAGACTCTCCCAGAAATAGCAAAAATGAAACCACTTTTCTACCCATTTTATGAGGCCAGTATAATCCTCATTCCAAAGGCCAATAAGGTGATACAAGAATGGAAAATTACTTATGAAAATCTCTTATGAATATAGATGCAAAATTATGAAAGATATATATACCTCTATAATGAAAACAATGAGGAAAAAGATAAATTAAGGGATTCATGGATTCAAAGATTCAATATATTAAGATGTCAATAGATTGAATGTAAGTGCAGTAAAAGTTATGTGGTTTTTTGCAGAAATTAATCAGCTGATTGTAAAATGTATATGAAAATGCAAGAGTCCAAGAATAGCCAAAGCCATCTTGCAGATGATGAACACTCGCAGATATCAAGATGTATTATAAAGATGTTGTAACTAAGTGTGAGATTGGCACAAGGGTGGATAAATTGACAAGCAGAAAAGATCAGAAGCAGACCCACACATATTTGGTAACCTGTGACCTAATTTATGTCAAAGGTGACATATTTGAAGTGCGTAGGGAAAAGACCTTTTTGAAAAATGATGCTGGGTCATTTTAGCATCCACATGGATAAAATGAACCTTGACTCCTTCCTTTACTATTCACAAAAATCAATTCCATATGAATTGTAGATCCAAAACTAAAAGGCAAAATGAAGATTCCAGAAAAAGACAGGGAAATGTCTTTACATCTATGTGATAAGCAAAGATTTCTTCAGATGGAAACAAGATGCTAATCATAAAGGAAAAGCATTGATAAATTGGAGATGATTAAAATTAATCTTTTCCTCAAAAAATACGATTAAGAGAGTGAAAGGATAAGCCACAAAGTGGGAGAAGACATTTAATCTCTATATATAATCAGACAAAGGATTCTTACCCAGAACACATGAAGATTTTCTACAGTGAAAAGCGAGGCAACTCAGTAGAAAAACAGACAAAAGAATTGAACAGACACTTCATAAATGAACCTATCCAAATGGCCAGGAAACATATAAAAGGTGCTTAACATCGTTAGTTATCAGGCAAACGTAAATTGAAATCAAGATACTACACATAGCCAGAATGGCTAAAATGGAAAAGTCAGTATCAAGTGTTGTCAAGGTTATGGGAAAAAAATTCTCATATACTACTGATGAATGGGAATTATAAATTGGTATAACCAATTTGGAAAACTGTTTGGCAGTATCTATTAAAGCTGACCGTATGCATCCCCTATGACCCTTCCCCCAGTTTGACTCAAGTATATAACCAACAGATGCATGCATGTGTTCAATTAAGGACATGCCAAAGGATATTAATGGCAGCACTACTTATATCATTACAAAAATGAAAACAGTATATACCCATCAATATCTGAGTTGATCAGTAAGTCGTGACTCTACAATGGAATTCTAAACAGAAATGAAATGAAAAACTAATGTTACATGTGATAACATGGGTAAAGTTCACAACATCAAACAAAAGAAACAAGACACAAGCACAGGTATATATATAATGTATGATTTCATCTATGTGAACTTCAAAGACGGGAAACACCGTCTATGGTGTTAGCTATCAGGAGGCTGGGGGTGTAATGACTAGAAGGGGCTCTAAGTGGGCTCCTGGGATGATGTTAATGTTCTGTTGTTTTAGTCTGAACATGAATTTGTTCACTTTGTAAAATTCATCGAGCTGTAAACTTTTGCCTTGTGTAATGTTCTGCATGTTTACTAAAAAAAGAAAAAAAGTATGAGACATGACAATTTTATCCATAATTACAATTAAAGAAACAGAGGCCAATTACTGTAAAGTATTTTAAATGTGCAAAGAGAGAACCAACTCAAATAAACAGTTAAAACTGTGTAAGAGTTGAGAGTCATTTTAAACAATAAACCCAAAGCACAGTTCCTACATAATCTTACTGCATTTGAGTATTCAATTTCATCTTAACACAAGTCAATCACTTTAAAAATAACTTTATTATCAGGAGTACTAAAAGTGTCTTCCCCTAACTGATCATCTACTAAAGCATTAAAAAGTTGCTCTACGCAAGCAAACTGGCCCATAAAACCTCAGGATCTGAAGTTCCAGAAAGTTTTAACTTTTTACAGTTTATACTCATGGCATTGAGCCAGGCATTCTGGGACTACATATTTCACAAGAATAGTCCATTTTGTTTTCCTTTTCACACATTAAAGGTTGTAGATCAAAAGGCGGTAGAATTCTTTTGGCTTCTGAGGAAGGCTCTGTGTCTTCTTCTTCCTGGGAAGAAATAGAGATAGATAGATGATAGATAGATGGATAGATGGATGGATGATAGATAGATAGATAGATAGATAGATGATAGACAGTTGATAGGGGAGAATGTGTGTATATACACACAGGTATCTCCCTATATATTGTCAAGAGGCAAAATTTTCCCATCTTAGGTTCAGTAGTTGGAGGCCTGTGAACTAAACTCAATGACAGATTAGCAAGAGAAAAAACAGATTTTAATCCTGTCTGTACATAAGGGA